AAAAATAAGTCACACAGCAACTGGGGAAAAAGCCCACAGCTGATACAGTGAGAACACATTACTGGAATATTAGTCACCACTGTTTGAGCGCTTACTATGTGCCAATGACATCGCTTTTATTTTCATTCCCACCTTACAGTGAAAGCTGAGCCCCGACTAGGTTAAGGAATTGTCCAAGCTACACCGTGTAAGTAATGGAGAAGCTACGACCTGGGTCTGCAAAGTGAAACAAAAGCTGTATAGCGCATGACACAAAATAAATGTTGGATCAACCTCGCTGCTAGTTTTACACCGCTATTACTAAGGATTACGGTCTTGCGGTGAGGACCCGGTCCGATTCACGGCCGTCTCCCATGCTCAGGACCACGCACTGCCAAGACCTGAGGCTGCGACTCTCCATTACCCAGACGATAAATAATGCAGCCGGACGCAAACCTGTCCCCACCCCTCAAAAAAGATTCCAAGGAAAGCGCGTGGTCCGTCCTAGGCGCTAAGTGTTCGACGATGCTATGAGTTATCCCTACTTTCCACGGTCGGGCACCGCGAACCCGAGGAAGCCCAAGTCCGCAGGCCCGGGGCGGCTGCACGAAGCTCGCAGAAGCGCCTCTCACCTGCAGCAGCGGCAGCAGCAACTGGTTGAGTCTCCGGCGCTCGGCGAGGCTGACGGCGCCCTCGCCCGTGCGGCCCATCTCGTTCAGCAGCACCAGCACCGCGATCTTATACGGCGTCACCCAGTCCTTGATGCCGAACACGTTGGCGTGCACCACCCCGTTAGTCATCATGGGATTGAAGTAGAGGCTCTCGTGGACGCTGGCCATGGCGGCCCGCCGAGACTAAGTCTCGGGGACCCGCCACGCGGCGCGCCCAGCCGCCCACTCGGGACCTACCACAACTGGACCTACACTTCCGCCCGCCAGCACGGTATCCCAGGAAACGGGCATCTTCGCTCTCAAGGTAAGCCGCCGACCAATCATAGAGCACATGGGACAGCTACAGCCAATCATAACCTCCAGTATTGCGAAGAAGGGGTGGGGCAAATGTGGTGCACCCGAAGGCTGATTCCCTACGGAAATTCTCGCCGAAGCAGAGCAGGTTCCCAGCTAAGAGGAACAGGGACCCCGTGCAAAGAGGGCGTAGATCCACCCAAAACTGAAATGGCTTGTAAGGCCCAAAGAATTTTTAAAGTGCAAACTCGGGTCACAAGGGACCACCTACTAGTTCTTGACCATAAGGCTTAAGTAACCCTTAGCTTGGAACCCAGATGGAGTCATAAAACTTCAGGCCTTGCTAAGGAAACATTACTTCCTGACTTAGGACATTCTCATGAGATAAGGTTACAATGTTCAGTTAAAACCCACCCATTCTCGGAATACCACCAGAACCATAAAATCAGCTCGTAGTTACCTTTTACCTACCCCTTCTCAGATTCCTTAAAAGGACATATACTCAAACCCACCAATTGTTTGATTTTTTTATTTTTTTTATTTATTTTTTTCAAAGTTTTATTGATAAACAGATAGCAATGAGACAGTTTCAAATCAAATCGGAAGTACCACCAATTGTTTTAAAGGTCACCCTAAAATTAACCAATGCGATCTGCTTCTGTAACCCCGCTTGCGAAACCCCTCCTCCCTTTGTCTTCTGGCTTAAAACCACTGCCCACGGTCAGTTCTCGCGCTCTCTGTTCCTGCGTGTTCAGACCGCCCTGCGTGCACGTAGATAATAAAAGCTTGCCCTTTGTGACTTGCGTGAGAGATCGACTCTTGGGGCCTTCCTTCGCGGCGACTCGACCCTTACATTTGGGGGCTGT